TTTGGTTTTCTCCTTGGGAGTTACTGCTACTCCATATCAGGTATATCCCTCTCCTCCCTTTTGGTTTCAGATTTGGTCCGATTTGGTTCAAGATTGATCATTGGAAATGTAGTTTTCTAAAATAGGGAATGTGATTCCTAGATGGGAGAGAGAGAAATGGGCAAAAGGCGTTCTACTCGAATTGCACAGTTAACGTTTTTTGGAAAATTAGTTCCCAGTTTTTGGGTGAATAATCTGAAATTAAATCTTTATTAATCTGATTTATATTTAGAACTGTTCTATATATTTTTCTTGGATTTTTGGTTGTTCGTATGGTGGAGATCAAATTCTTTTATTGGCACAAGAAATTTGCGCACCTACTGATTGATTCTATTCATTCTTGGTTTGTAATTAATTTATTTTTTTAATTTTTAGACAGAATGTATAAAAATTTGAATCTGATGTAATATTAACAGAAAAATTAGGTTTTCAATTTTTATTTCATTCGAAGATGAAGCAGAAAGCGCAAAGGAGAGAATTTCGCAGATTCAGGTTCAACGATCTGCGATTTGCAGTTTTCGAGACTACACACTACGAACTGATCTTTGTTTTGTAGGGTAGCAGTCTTACGAACATCCCTTTTACTGATTCTTAAATGTCATGTATCAGTTGTTTAATTTCAGATCATCTGCTTGAATTGAATCTTGAATTAAACATCAAACCCTAGACCCATTCAAACCAGATTGGACCAAACTGTTTTGAATGAATCTGTGGTTCGATGCGGGCTGTTCTTAGCTCTAAAATTTCCTTCATGGGCCGAGGGATTGATGGTTAATTGCAAGATACAATTTGGCCCACATCTGTAAAACTTAGTTTTAATTTGTTAAAATTGCTTTAGCCCAATTCAACATAAAAGCTATATGGTCCGAATTGCTCTTTGCAGTTCAACCCATATACCTAGATAATATTAATTGGTAATATTATGAAATTAAATGGGCTTTATTTATGGGTTTTATAGTTATTTAATTGATTAGATCAATTATGGATTTCATGCATGTGATGTATGGATGTGTGATGTGCTACGTTCATGGGCCATAAGCACTTGGCCCATGCTAATTCGATAGTGGCTCTTTCGCACACCATAGATGAATGCACATCATTACCATGGTGTCCTTAAGATCATTAAATGATCTCCTTGCCTGGTGGGTCCCACACCAGCTTCCTCCCCAAGAGGAACCGTGCGGAACCCTAGTCGTTTAGGGCCCATCTAAATCTGTCTTTACGAAAGCTAGTGGGAGCCACTTTGGTTTGACCTAAATCAGATCTAGGGAGTTTCCGTTCTCTCCATTAAATATAAGTGCATGTGATAAGGAACTTCATATGATGAATTCTCTAAAGGTCTTCCATCATTAGTATGAAGGTTGACTATATTGACGGGTAGAGATGCACCATAAAATTGGGCTATCCATCTGCTAATGCAGTTGGCTGGATTACTTCATGAAATGATAGGGGTATCATAGACCGATGTGGAAGGGGCCTATCTTAAAATGGCTATAAACCTTGTCTGACAAAGGCCAAAGGGAAAGTTCATAAGATGAGTGGAAGAGAACCTTCACAAAAGGTGGTGGGGTTTTGCAGCTGAAATAGTTGGCTCCATACACCCCTTGTGGTTTCCCACATTTCCAAAGATACAACTGTCTCTAACACTAAGATTGGAAGGAATCTCAGAGATGCCCAAAGTGGAAATGGAACATAGATTAAAAGCCCTTTCTATGTGATGACATAAATCAATTTGGTTGTGGACTTACAAATCTGCCTTGCCTTTACTAGAAATGGCAAACGAAAACTTCACCAAAATGTTGGATGATAACAAACTCAAAGGCCCTAATTATGCTGATTGGTTTCAAAACCTTATGGTGGTTCTGACGTCCGAGAAATTGGACAAAATTGCTAAGAGCCCTGCTTCGGATTGTCTGGGTGACAGGGCTTCGGAGGCTCGAAGAAGCGAGTATCAAGAATGGGAAGAGAAAAACTCTCTTGCCCAGTGTTATATTATAGCCTCTTTGGACAATCCGATACAGTGACAATTCGATAAGATCGAAGTGTCCAAGATTATATTGGATTGTTTGAAGACTATGTATGAAGAGCAGAACCGTTCTACTCGACAAAAGGTCTGAAAATTGTTTATGACCGCACAGATGACCGAGAACCAACAGGTTCATGACCATTGTCTAGAGATGATGGATTATATTAATGAACTGGAGGCTCTCGGGTCAGGGCTAGATCATGACACCAAAATTGACGCTGTCCTCAATTCCTTACCTCCCTCCTTCAATCAGTTTATCATGAATCACAACATGAATAAACTAAACGTTAGTCTTCAGGAATTCAGTAATATGTTGTAGAGGGCTGAAGAATTGATTAATAAGGATAAGCCGATAGCCATGCTTGTTGAAGGTGGAAAATAAGGCAAGAAAAAGCGGAAGGCTAAAAGGAAGGCTCAGAAGAAGAGTAGCAAAACTATAAAGCAGAAGAAAGATAATGTATCGGATACTTGTCACTTCTGCAAATAGACCGACCACTAGAAGAGAAATTGTCCTCAATATTTGGAAACTAAGAAGCAAGGTAATTTTAAATCTTTTATCATAGAGACCAATTTGTTGGTCACTTCTGCTTCCTGGTGCATTGACTCTGTGGCTTCAACTCATGAGTGTAACTCACTGTAGGGGTTTAAGATAAGTAGAAATCTGAGTAATGGAGAAGTGATGCTCTACTTGGGGACTTCTATAACAGTTGCAACTACAGCCATAGGAACTGTAGAACTAGTTTTTAGAGAAGGAATAATTGTACTTAAAGATTGTCTTTTCGTACCTAATTTAAGAAGAAATTTGATTTTTGTCTCAAAATTGTGCATGGATGGTTATTCTATCTTATTCAGTAATGTGGTTACTATTAAACGGAATAACAAATTCCTCGCATACGGAGAACTTAAGAACGGTCTCTATGTTCTTTATCCTTCTCTTGAAATAAATATTACCTAAACTATGTTGGAAATAATCCCCAAAAAGAGGACTCGTGATACAGTTAATCCCACATGCCTGTGGCATTACCGACTTGGCCACATAAATATAAATTGTATCACAAGGTTGGTAAAGGATGGTCATTTGAATTTTCTAATTGTAGATCTTCCAACCTGTGAACCTTGCCTTCAGGGTAAGATGATGAAGCGATCATTTACCGGTAAGCCTGAAAGATCTACAGGCACACTTAACCTTATACATACTAATGTTTGTGGTCCCCTGAATGTTAGGACACGTAACCAGCACATTTATTTTATAACCTTTATCGGTGATCACTCACGGTATGGTTACATGTACCTAATGAGATAAGTTTGAATCTTTTGAAAAGTTCAAAGAATTCAGACAAGAAGTCGAGAAACAGTTAGGGAGAGAAATTAAGACCCTTCGATTAGATCGAGGCGACGAGTATCTCTCTGATGAATTATGGGACTACTTAAAGGACAATAGGATAGTATCACAACTAGCTCCTTCTGTTACACCACAATTAAACGGTGTGTCAGAAAGGAGAAATCGGACTCTATTAGATATAGTCTGATCACTTCTCGTCCACTCAAAGTTACCCACATCCTTTTGGGGTTTTGCATTAGAGATTGCGATTTACGTGCTAAATCGAGTTCCAACTAAATCCGTTACTAAGACTCCATATGAGCTATGGACCAGTAAGAAACCAAGTGTGAGACATTTGAAGATTTGGGGTTGTCTAGCGCATGTTAAAAGAACAAGTGCTAACCGACACCATATGATCTATGATCACCCACTCAGATAAATTCTCGGACTGTCCCAACATACCCAGGTTTTGACCCCCTTTAAGAATCTCACAGATTGGCATATCAAAGACAGCCCAATCCGACACATTGTGTAGTACCATAATTGAGTCTAAGGGTCAGGTGTAACATTCTAGTTTTACTCATCTATCTCCAAAGTGCAGGGCAATACTAGAATTTTGGTCTGGTTTAGGGTTTCAAGAAAACCCACACTGTATGTACCTCATGTCTCACCTTGGCATTTGAGACAAGCCACCCCACCCCAACCAACATGGCGGCACATCAGTGTCAGCCTTGACAGGATAAATCTCCTCAGATCTATCCAACGGCTATGAAGATTCTAAACTAACACATACATGTCCAATTTAAGGGTATTACGCAGAAATATACCATAACACATGAATCAATTATGTACTTTTATTCATTTACAATAAATATCATTAAGTACATCAATCTGATTAGTGATAAGAACATACACTGTCTACACCAAGTCCAATCCAATATATCATATTGGTCCGTTCAATCCGTCCAGATTCAATATATATGTCTTATTGGTCCGTCCAATCCATCTAAATGGATTTTGATTTGGACGGAGTCCAACCCAAAATCGGTCCATTGACACCCCTTCCCACATGAATCGTCTAGCGCTAGCATTAGGATGGATTCATTTATAGAATTATTTAATTTAAGTTATTAAGTTAGTTTCGATTTATAACTAATTAATGTTGCAAAATGCATGAACTCCATTATATTGATTTTGGACTCCATTGAGGGATATCTAACTCCATTATCATTTATTAGCAATTTTCAACACTTTATGACGAAAAACAATAACCATATTGATAACAACTGGTTGACAATTATTTTAGGTTGATGAAACGATTCAATTGAAGAGTTTATTAAAAAGGAAGTAAAAGAATTACATTGAACAACTCAACGAATGAAATCTCTTGCAGAAATTTTTAGGGTTCAGCATTTAGAAGACAACACTAGGGACTTTCCATGCCGACAAGAACAACTTTTATCTTGCCGGAAAGAAATAGAACGACAGACTAGTTAAGACTAAAATAGGAGAGAAACAGAAAATTGAGATGAAGTTTTGTTTAAGAACATTCCCTCAACGGCTCAACTTTCTGTTTGTCTTATTTTCCATCAAGCAAAACACAGCCTAATAGAATTCAGTTCCAAGAAATTTATTTCCAGTTTCGTAGGAAGATATTATTGCTCTATCCATGCAATCAACTGAGAAAAGAAGCCAGCATCTTGAGCTCAAAAGCTTCATCAGGTTGAAGAGTGTCAATACTGCAATTTTCAAGTATTGCTTCATTACCAGAACCACCCTGAAGCATTACATCAGTATCAGTTGAGAAGGGATCATCTAAATACCAAGAAGAGATATTCCAACCATCCTCTCCAGTGACCAAATTACTGCTTCCCCGAATCCCATCGCTGCAAATCTGTAAGCAATTGGAGTTCAGATCATCCGACATAAAAAGCAGCTCGTTCATGTCAAAACCCACCAGCATATCCAAAGAATCATCATCCACTTGTTGGAATGAAGAGGATGGCCTGCTGCAGTCCCGAGAAGACTCCCCATTCTTCTTCGTTATCTCGTTTCCTTCTTTCCGTGGGAGAAAAACCCTAGTGCATCTCGAGGCTTTCGTTCTGATTACAGGAGGAGTTTCTGAGCTAATGGAGGATTCGCTTGCACCCTTCTTCTCGACAGATCCGTTAATCCGTATCTTTGGCGTCTGGCCTTGAATTTTTTTGCTCAGTTTGGTGTTCCAGTAGTTTTTGATTTCGTTATCCGTTCGTCCAGGTAGCCTTCCGGCTATGAGGGACCATCTGCAAAAGCAGAAGTCCATTATTATATTCTGAGAATGCACTTCAGAGATGCACCAAGGGATAAATGATTTAAGCAATAAATCTCATAATTTCTTGCAAATGAATTGAAATATTAGGAAGTACCATATGAAGCCTCATGCCTCTTGAAACACCAAAAGTTTCAGATATAATTACCCAATATTGAGAGAGAGAGAGAGAGAGAGACCTGTTACCAAGAAGCCTATGAAGCTTGATGATGAGATCCTCTTCATCCTTGGAAATATTTCCTCTCTTGATATCTGGCCTCAAATAATTCAACCATCGGAGCCTGCAACTCTTTCCGCAACGTTTCAAACCTACAGAGTAACAGAAACCACCGTTATCGATCGTCTGCAAGAAAAGACATCAGGCTATGCAATGAAATATGCATAAGTGTGTTGGGTGAAGAAATAATGTAACCAACAAATAATTTCAGTYGCTAATTAATTTACCTGCTCTCTTAGGGAGCTCTCTCCATTTCCCTTCTCCATGGAGATTAATGTAGCTAGTGAGTATCATATCTTCGATAGCAGACCATGATCCTCTATTCAGCCCCTCTTCTACACAGCACGGCCTTCTACCCATTTCCAACAATTCTGTGGCCACTAACTAAATTGCAACCTACAAGGAGCAGAATCTCCCTCTCCCTATCTATATATTGAAGAGAACGAGAACCGCTGTCCTCAAAACATCAGAAATAATTAGCGTTGTTTCAAAACTCTCATCGATGAGGACAAAGTGTGAGAAAACGACTGATTTAATTAGCGTTGTTCCGTTACTAGTATATTCATACTCAATTCCAAAACCTCCCCTGTAACCACACCCTAACATTGGGGATCATGCGGAGTTGATCAATTTCATCCATATGATGGATCCTTCATCCCTTCATCTGGTTCCTCTATAACGAATTTATATTGGATTGAGCTAATATCTAGTGCATTGATAGAAGATAAAAACATAGGTGTCAATGGACCAGGTTTGATTTAAATTCAATCTAAATTAACAAGAATTTGAATATATTAAACAGTCTCTGAACCCATMTAAAATGGTCCAAATTAAAAATTTATTAGACTGGATTGGATCAAATCCATTTCTAGTGGACTCACATTGGACTGGATCGGATTAGACCAAATTCAGTCAAATTGACACACCTACATGTGCGTAGTAGTGGACGTTCTAAACAAAATAATTGTACGTACATCTCATTTTTATGAACCCAGCCATGCATTTTGGCCTCACATGAATGGGCCTATTTTAAACAAAATAATTATACTTACATCTCAGGTGTTTTATATTTGGAGTGAGTCCAGTAGAACACAAAAACCTGCAACGTTATAAAGAAAGACAAAATATCACATCAATGGGCCTATTTTAAACTAGAATTGAAGAAACAACAATTGTTTACAATTCCACCCGGTAAATGTGGAAAGATAAACTCTCCAAATTAGGAACGATTAGATGAACTATTTTTGTGTTGCTTACTTGCATTGAAAGAAACAAGTCTTCGCTACGACAAAAAAGAAAAGTTTATTGTGCTCCAGTCTACGCTGGGTACCGAACTGGTCCAAAGATCAGGAAAAGGCTCACCATCAAGGTTTTTAAAATTGAACCGGTCAGGGTCCGGTTCCTGGGTCGAACGTTCTGATCATTCAAACTGAATCAATGGTCTGTTTTGACAAAAAAAAAAGATTTAAAAAAAAAACGGTCAAACTGTTAAATGGTTTGACTACCTGGATCAACGGCTTTTGATGAAATAACAATTCTAGGGTAAAACAAAACCAGTCAGGTGATTGGTTCCCGGTTTTTCCATCCCATCCGGTCCTGTCCGGTTTTGAAAACCATGCCCACCATAATTTTTAAAGTGTGATCTCTGGTCCCAACAGGCAATAACAACCACACGAGCTTCAGATTTTCTCTTGGTATGTTTAGAGCGAGCTTCTCTACGCAGACCATATTCCTATTCGATGACCCTGAATAATTTCCTTGTCTCCTTTTCAATGCTCTGCTAGCTGTATGAATCCCAAGAAACTTTAACGATAAAAGAGAACAGAACAAAGTTGTGATAAAAGTAACAAAACAGTGGAGGCTCAACAGCTCGGCATGTGCTTTGGCGCTGTGGCCCATGGGCAAGGGGACGCAAGGTCACAGCGTGGGGCGGTTGTATTGARAGAGGACGAGGAGTAGCCAGCTCCAGTTGAATAGGAAACTTTCATAGTCTTGTTTTTATTTGATGAATTGTCTCTCTTCTTGTGTTTTTTGTTTGTTTTGGTTTATTATTTTGAAAATGAGTTCAGTGGCATCTGGGGTCACATATGAGATGGGACAGAGATGGGATAGAGATGAGATCGATTACCTTTGTACGGTCCAAATCCAATTATAAATGGAAGCAACCAAAAAAATCTTATATCATCATAAAAGTGACAACCAATTATTAGGTGGATCTTTGTCAAAATTCACAAGGAGTTTTGATTGGTCAAAACTTTTCGATATCATGTTTTTCATTATGATAGATTTTTCCAAATTAAAAACAAAGGATTTGAATATTATATTGGCTCAGAAAGGGAAATTTTCACAGGTTTATCTATGAGTTGTATCCATTTCTGAATCAATAATAGGAATGCAACTCTCTCCATTAGGGGTTAGCATTATTTGGTTAAAACCGAAAAACTGAATCAAATGGAGTTCATCACAAGAAGATTTTCTGCGACCGCTGTCGCATGCAACCCCAAAGAAATCTGAACATGCCAGTCTTTTAAACCTACCAAATACTAGTTCATGTGATGTTTTATCTTCTCTTCCAAATACTGCATATTACACGTTTTTGAGCCGGCCCGGCTTGATGGTCCACGGGCCGTGCCGTGGCCCAACACGACTTGTATGGGCCCGTGGGCCGTGCCGGGCTTAGGGTTTCAGGTCAGCGGGCCAAGTTGGCATGGCCTGCACTATCATGCCATGCCCCCCGTGGCCCGTGGCCCGGCACAACCCATATATATTTATATATTTTATATATTATAATTATATAATAATATATAGTATATAATATATTGATAAAATTAACAATTTTTTCAATTTTATTATACTGTTTTATTTAATTATTGTATATATAAGCAATTTTATACATCAAAATTCATATAAATTAAAATTTTATATTTTTTGTCAATTTTTTAAATAAATAACTTTGGCCTGGCCCATGGCTCGGTCCACAGACCAGCCCAGACCAGCCTGGCATGGGCTCACATGGGCTTGGGCCATGGGCCATGGGCCTTGCCGGGCTGATCCCCAAAAATTTCCCAAGGGAGGGAGGCATGGCCCGCAGTCTGGAAAAACCCGACCTGCACTTTGTGTGGGCTTCACGCGGATCGTGCCATGCTGGCCCAGCATGGACCCTTTTTACACCAGTCATGGATTCCCTTCCCCCACGTTGGCAGGAACTCCAATCTCATGGATGATGAGCACAGATGTCATCTGCTCCTCTAGAGTGCTTCTTGCACCCAGGTCACAGCAACATCTTGCACACAGGTCACATCCCATGGTACATTGAGAACATCTCTCATGAATAATAACATACAAGTGTGAAAGATGAGCCAGATGTGAATCTGTTCCTCTCAGAGCGCTTCTTCCACTGAGGTCATGTTGGCAGAAAATCCAATCTCATGGATGATTTGCCTAAATATGATTTTCTCCTTTCAGAGCACTTTTTGCACCACGGTCACAACCACGTAACATCTCCCATGAATAATAACATACAAGTATTCCGCTCTGTGAGGTTAGTGTGAAGAGCGTTGGAACATGCCAGGCCATGATCATCTCTCTTTCACCGGTGTCACAATACTATTTTGGTTATTGGTTCAGGGGTCAAACAGTTTCATCATTGGTCCAATCATTTTATTCGTTCAAGGCAAAGAGAAGGTGTTTCAACTCCTTAAATCTTGTTAATCCATGATGTTGAAGTTCCCTTCTCATCATATGCTCTTAAATCTTGTTATTTACAGTTTGATGCATGATATATTGTTTAGCCCTCTGCTCCCTCCCTTTTTGTTCATGACAAAAGGGGGAGAAGTTTTGGCTTGAACTGAAAATGATTTTTTTAGGAAATATGGGAAAAGATACCAATAAAGAGAATGTATCTTTCAACATAAACAGGGGAAGTTCTATCTCTCAAATGAAAAGGGGGAGTTTTAACTCCCATTATGTTTGCAAAAATCCTTTATTTGTATGCCTCAAGGGGATCGGAGATAAATAAAAGTATTCCCCACACATGATTCAGGGGGTGTTTTGATGTAGATATAGATTCAAAACAAAGGGAGTTAAATGAGAAATGGATCCCCTTCATAATCTAGGGGAAGATAAATAGTTCTTGTGTTAAAATTGTGATATTTTGATATTGTTGTCGTGAATATTCATATAATTATCTATTTTATTCATATCTTGAATAGTCAATGATCATGGATTATTGCAAATTTATGCTTTTTAGTTATTCTCAAATCAAGAAAGCCATATCCATTTATTTTGTTAATCGATCTAGTAATTATTGTGCATCGTTGAACTTTAATGTTTATGTAGCATGTTTTAGGAGAGTAGTAATCTCTTCTCGGGCTTAATTGTTTTTATTTTTTTCATCAATGATTTGAGGTATTTCTATTTGTTAATTCGTACCTTTATAGAGGAAGAAATTAATTGAATTAAGCCGGCGGTTCAAAAAAGCACCGGTCTAGATGTGTCTAGGATGGCAGTTTTAACAACACTATTGATTGTGAGCTAAATTAAGCAAAAAGCCAAAATGGACCAGCGGTTTTATAAATTAAAATGACAGTTTCTAAATTAAACCGGTCATAAACCAATACCGAACCAGTTCTAAATTACACAAACTTTGAAAAGTGGCATTGTTAATATCGTCTTTGTGACTTCCTAGACGTATAGTTCTCGTGTTTTCTTCTTCAACATGGAGTCTTCCCTTTCCTTATTGAGTTTGAGTCTCCCCTTTGTCGGTCTTTGACTTGGAGTGTCACTTCTTCTTCGATTTGGAGTTTTCCCTTAATCTCAAAGTTTAGGTTTACACTTTTCGAGTTCGTCTCTCCCCTTCCTCTTCTAGTTGGGTACAAGCACAAAGTTTGAGTTTCCCCTTAATCCCAGAGGTTTAGGATTTTGATTCTTTTGAGAATAAATTGGGTTGTGATCGAAGGTAAAAGCTGCTCCATTTGTTCTACTTGAACGGCACAGAAAAGTATGTTTTCAAGTCTTTATCTCTCTCAAAAAATATTAATAATTTGTATTGATAATTAATTATTGTTAATTGTTAATTTGTACTAATAATTTGCTCTTAATTTGTCAATAAGATTTAATAGATAGAAACATGGAAAATTCTATGACGCCATGAAAAGATTTTGATCAATCAAAGCTCACCTGATTGGTTACTACTTTTACTTTTATAGTGCTTGTTGATTGATTATTTTGAATCCTTGAAAACAGCTCCTCAAACATATATGGTCTAGCCTTACATTTATGGATTGGCACCCAAGGTACTTACAGGAAGAGAAAGTTTTCTTCATCAGATTACAGTGAGTGATCAAGGCCTTAGAGAAAATATAAAAAGCACTCTTCCACATGTCTATTATCTTCTGCTTAGAGCTCTGTT